AGACGAGAATTCCTTAATTTATTTGAATTTCAAATCTAATATGAATATTCAGTGTCAAATTACTTTGAATACTCAGTGAAATCTGCAATTTCATGATTTTTTTCCCCCTAAATCGCATTCAGTGTCACGGTTCTGAAAATTCAAGAAAATATTTACCAGAATTTTCTGATTTTCTATTCGTTTTCAGGGAAAAATGGAACGAAAATTTACAGTTCTGTTTGATTTTGCTACGAAATTCTGAATTTTTAATGACAAGATTTCCTGAAATTTCAATGGAATGGGAACACGATAAAAATTTCCGAAAATTGTCACGGAAAATTCAGAAAACAATTTTTAACAGTGTACTTGAAGCCCAAAAAAAATCGACAGTTGATCACAAATGAATTGTTAACGAGAAAGCAAAATCGTAATTTTTTTGTCAGTGCAGTCTCACGTGCCTCGAGTATCTCTCGTCGAGTACTTTTTCATTAAATGCTACGACGTGACAATAAATCCATCATCGTGCTCAAGTAGACGTACATCCGTGCCTAAGAACACAGCATTTATACCCCCTGGACTGAATTATTTGGGGATAAAAGACGCCCTTGTGACCCTCGTCTCGTTCATACAGTCTTTTACTACTTGACGACACTCTCATCCCTTTCACGGATTCAAGAAGCTTTTTTTTTACTCCCCTTTCTCACTTGAAAGTTTATGTCTGTTTTGTACTGCACTCAGCTTTTCTCCAGTTTGTTACGACGTGTTGAATAACGGATAAGTGATTTACGGATGGATTCAGTGTCAGGGAGAGACTGTAAACTGTTTCATGGGAACGAGTGAAACGGAAAATATTGAGTTTTAGTGCCGGAGAGTAGATATGGAGAAATGAATGACTTAGTCTATGCTCGCAGTTTAATTGAAAGTTGCAGGCAAAAATTGAAAACAGATGTCTGGAAAATATTTGAGGAACACTTAATGATCATCTACTTTGAAAATATGACATTAGGCTAGTTTCGAAATTAAAAAGTGATTGGAAATTTTGGAAAGTATTTTCATCACAAAGTCGCAGTAATTTTCGTTACACAACACGAGTTTTTCAAGAAAAGTAAAGAAAACGATTTTCTCAGTAAAAAAATTGGATTTTATATGTTTCTGTCCAGGATCATTGAATCATGATATTATATTTAAAAAAATTGATTCCACTGTTTTCCTAATAAAACAAGTGGACAATTGCATTTTCTAAATAAATGAGTATAGCAATTGTTACTCATAAATTAGCTATTTGCTTCCGAATGGGTTGTCTGTTTTGAAATTCTTATTTCATTATTTTCTTTTTCTATTTTTCCATGTCATAGTACTATCATCAATTGAAATGTCATCAAAATTTTGGGTATTATAATATTTCGTACTGTCAAATAACTCTACATTCAAACCCTCTCAAGATTCGAATTTGTTTTCAGTCCGGATTTAATCAAGATTTAGTCAAGGTTTCATCAGTGTATAGCCGAGAATTAATTGGGATTTATTCAGGATTTAGCCAGAGTTTAACCCAGATTTTGTCAGAAGTTAATCAGGACCATGACTCAATATGAATAAGTATTCAACATAATAAACTAGTACTTAAGTATAATTCCGGTTTCCGGTTCAAATAATTTTCAAATGGATTCTCAATCGATATCGGCACAGAGAGAAAAATTCAATTAAAACTACCAGAAAAAAAACGTAACAATTGCGTTTCGAACGTATTCCGCGAGCGAAGTAAAATTCAATAAAAAGTGTGAATCGGATCTGAAATTGTACGAATCGCCACGTAAATTCTACGATTTGTTCTGTAAAAATTAACCACCCGCCTGATGACTCACCGCTGTGGGGACTACAAGTCGTTCCGTAATTTTTCCCCAACGATTGAGAAATTTTACGGAACGGAATGTAGAAAGAACTCATAACGTAGAAATAACTTCTCCTCCATTTCTATAAAAAATTGCCGGAAAATGATTCCCCATTGCCGATTACGTGAATTGTTCCCTAATTTTTACTGAATATTTCTCTCCGCGGGGGTAAATCCATTTTCTGGATGATAGTGTACGGCAAATTGGTGACTCGAAGAGAAGAGGAAACCGGAAAGGAAAAATTAAATATTTCAGGTTCCGGAATATTATTAGAATATTAGAATATAATATACGGGATTCAGGAATACACATACACTGTTAGAAAAAAAATTAAATTTCATTGCCAGTTGACTAACAATTTTTAGGACATTGACACTGAATGCGAATTAGGGGAAAAAAAATCATGAACTTTCAGGTTTCACTGAAATTTCTGAAATTTTACGGAGGAATTTTTAATTTTACTTTTTTTTTTATTTCAGAAGCATAATGACGAGAATTCCTTAATTTATTGGAATTTTCAAACTATTGCGCATATTCAGTGTCAAATTACATTGAATTTTCGGTGAAATCTGAAATTTCATGATTTTTCCCCCTAAATCGCATTCAGTGTCACTGACCTGAAAATTCATGAATATATTTACCGAAACTTTCTGGTTTTCTATTCATTTTCAGGAAAAAATAGAATGGAAATTTACAGTTCTCTTTGATTTTTTCACGGAATTCTGAATTTTCAGTGACGAAATCCCTTGAAATTTCAGTGATAATTAAATTTAGCGAAGCGATAAACCGGGTTAAGTCGATTTCGACTATTGGCCAGTTTTTGACGAATATCTCGGAATGGAAAAGAGGTAGAAAAATTTTTGTCACGACTTTTTTTGCAGAGCCAATTGAGAGTTATAAAAAAGGTCATGAGAAAAACTTTGCTATCTTTCTTAGATTCCTAGATATTCATGAAAAACTGACCAAAAGTCAAAAGCGACTTTACCCCGTTTACCGCTTCGCTACTGAATTATTGACAGTGTCGTACTGATTCCAGAATATTATATACCACATTCGCGAATATTTTTTTTTCATGAATAATTGTTAATAGATTCCTACAAATCGGTGAGATGTCCTTACAAATCGGTGACATATTCCGGAAAATTGAGATTTTGCTCTGTGGAATTTTCACAATTCAATCCCCTCCAATTAATAATTCCGAATGAATTGCAGATGACACGAGACACGAGCGAGACTTCGCGATCCAAAACGGCAATCTAACGCCTCAAAACGATAATACGAGAGATAAAGTCAGCGACACCCCAAAAAAGAGTGAGTACACAATCCAAACACGACTAACAAACTTTTTGTTTACAGCAAAAACAAAAATGTCACCGTGTTGCATGTGAACAATACTCCACTGTTTAATACACTCTATCTGTTTTAAAATTCCCTCCGTCTATTTATTTTTTGTTACCCCATCCGGAACCTTTGTGGTAATTAGCAGTCGATAGTTTCACGCGACGGGGGTAAAATTGATTGCGCTTAAAGCGACGGGTCTCGTTGGCTTCGGGAGATTTATCGGTGTGTTCAGTTGCTCGTGAAATTCATTTTCTTCCTACCATCAACCCTCCTCATGTTTTTTTTTATTATTCACTCAGACTCAATTTTCTAGACTCATTTTTTTTCGAGGTAATTGGTGAATATGAGGGGAGACTCGTTGAATAATTCGCGAGTGGTGGGCCTCTGGTGATAAAAGGGGAGAAAAGCTTGTCTGTTTGAAATTTAATTTGTGATGAATATCTCATGATTGGGGACTTGAGGGATTTTTAAATGGCACAGTCGCTGCAATAGAATGACTTTTTAAAAGTTGTTGGAATTTATTTTCAGTAGGACAAGGGGATATTTTAGTGGAATGAAATTCTTTGAAAAAAAACTTTGACATCAAACGAAAATTCACGATGTACGGAACGCATGAGTGTGATGACCATCGCTGGATATATAATGTTGATCAGAAAATCATAGGTGAACAGGGTATGAACGTTCTGTTGAAATTTTTATCAAGTAGTGGTTCCAGTGAGATTTTGAGGAATTCATTCAAAAATGAGATTTTTTTTATTTTTTGCATTTTTTGTTTTCACATTATATTAAAATGTTTTTTCCGTTTTTTCAATTTCTTCGTGATATATCTGGCCAATCCCTGCGGCGGTGACCAAAATCGGAGAGTCGCGTATGGTGACCATACTAGGCTGAACGATCACAATGATTTTTTCTCCTTCATCTCATTGGTTTCTGTGAAAATCACGACATTAAACATAAGAAGAGAAATTCATGATTAAGATAATTCAGTTGAAATGGTTTGGTTCACTCACTTAGAATGTTCAATCGAAACGAATTTGGTTAATTGAGTAATTTTTAATAAATTAATCCTGTTGCAGCGGCTGTCCCACTTCAACCCGTCCAATTAATTATAGAACCCCCACTCCTCCAACTTCTTTCCCTCATTTACTGTCAACTTATTCATTTTTATTGATTTATCAAGAAACAAAAGGAATTATTCAGGGGAATTAATTGGGTAAAGAGGAGTGTTTCAAAGGCAAATTTATGCTGATTATTTTTGTCATCATTATGTATGACGACATTCAATGGATATTCAAGCGGTTCGACGGAGCAATTACATGCTTTTTGCTGATTAAACCCGCTCTACTGAATCCGCGAGGAAATCTCTGCATAAAAAACAGAACTGAAGACGCTCTTTCAGTCCAATACATTCGAATGTTCAATGAATGAAGTTTTAAGGGGCACAAGTTTGTTCATTGATACTTCGCAAATTAATTCAGTCAGAGAGCGACTCAACATCTCAAATCGGGGATTTCTTCAACTTCGATACAGCCCTTGGCTTGAATGCAAGTAATCCGATCAGATTAAACGAATTCATCTGACAGGAATTTAAAAAAAGTCATAATCGAATACTTTATTTCGAAGCAACCTAGGAAATTGCTGTAAACCTATCTTCCCCCGGATATTTTTAAATTAATCCGCAAGACTCTTCTCGGCCCCACAATCGTGAAAAAAAATCAGCAAATATTTTTCCTCTCCCCTTCAGCGAGTGCACGAGCCACCTCATCGAAAACCCTAGAAATCCCCTCCAGAATGCCGCAATCCCGTTCCCGTCGTCACCGTCGCCACAAGAACAAGCGACCAAATCAACCGCCGAAGCATGAATCACCCCTACCCCCTCAACCTCCACTCTCGGAAGATGCCAACAGCCGACAAGAGCCCACCGAAATAACGGAAGACAGCGATGGAATAATTGAGGCTAAGGTCAACGGTCAGACGGTCAAGGTGACGACTGAGGTCACTGAGACAGCATTGGGTCATGAGATAGGATCGATACCTAAGCAACGTACCCCAGTGCAGCGCAGGTACAAACTCGAGCGTCATGTATTATCAACTCATCCAAAAATCTGCAAAATAACAGACATCAGTGATCTTCGGATGGAAGCCTACGTAGGTCACGTTGCGGGTGTTGGTATAATTGAATCTCGCGTCAACGAGGCTAGTGATATCAGAACAATAGTAACTGAACCAGTTGAGCCACTTGGACCACTACCGAGTAATGTGACCTCAAGACTCGAGACCCTTGGCGAACGTGACTTTGCCCTGGCACTGCTACCTAATGCAAACAGAGATCGTCCCGAGATTCATGAGGTCAACGACAGTGATGCTGAGACAACAGAGTTGAGTAGAGGTGCTGTTGTCAGTGAGGCTGAATCCGATATTGAAATTGCCCCGAGGAAGAATGAAACGATATTGGAAGAAACTGACGAGTCAGAGTCTACAGATAAAGAAAACTTATTCACTGAATCTTCAAAAGACCAACACAAACTTTGCGGTTTGAGTTTACCGAGTGCTTCGTCTTCAGAAGCTCATAAGAATGCAGGTAATATCAGAGATTTGTCCCCATTGGCGATAATAAGTGAACCAGAATCGGATATTGATCAACCGAAGTCAATTATTAACCAAGTTATTTTGGAGGAAACCGAAGAGGACTCAGATTTTTCCGACAAACAATCATCCCTCATTACCAAATTGAACGCAAGCCAAAGTAAACCTTACTCCTTACCAGAAACCTCATCTTCAGACACAATCGATAAAGACCTGGCATCTCCTTGCTTTCCGACTCTCAACAAACACTCGAGTTTATCCTCCGAGGATGCAGACAGCGAGAGAACAATAATCGACTCAAAACCAGAAAGTGAAACGGAAGGCGAAGATAACATTAACACCGAGGAAGAAGAATTGCACAACGTGACAGAGTCAAAGGAATCAACCAAGTGCACTGATGATTCAAATGAGACTACAATAGACTTTAACTCCAAGGAATCCACTGGTGCATCAAGCGTAATAGAGATAGAGAATGGAATTCAAATGTCTCCGGAAATTCATGAGCCACAGTTGACTCGACAATTTGACGATAAACTGAGGATTTTCATCAAAGAATGTGATTTAGGGAAGCATCAGAGTGATGACAACAACCTGTTGAATCACAAGTGTCACGTTAACGAGGCTGAGACATGCAATAGTGTCATTCGTGAGCATTCTGAAAGAGTGGAGATTCGGGAGAATTGCAGGTATGAGACAACCACAGTCGATCGATACTTGGATATTATTCAGGAAGAGGGGGAGTGTCTAGCCCCTCATGACAGAGATATTCGTGATTTTATTAATAAAGAGATCGGAAAATTTCGAAGGGAGAGACGTAAGACTGACATTAATGAAGAAATCATGGAGACTAGGAGTAATGAAACAATAATGTCATCCAGAAATGAGAACATCTCAGGCACCAAGACAGAAAACGAGAAAGGAGATAGCAATAAAATGTACGAAGAGAGCGGGTCACCAGTGAACCAAGTTAACGAAGAGGAATTGGATTCCATAAAGAGAAGGTGTGCGCCAGCGCCACCGAGAAGATCCTCCAGTTTTAACAGCATGGACGTGGATAAAATCGCTGGTGGAACATATCGAGATGTGAATTCAACAATTTCAAGTGAACCACCGAAAGTTCCAGATCTACCAATTGAAGTTATTAAAAAACTCACTGAGGCCCATGAACATTTGCATTTGGAGACACTTCCAGTGCGTCCACCACTGCCCAAGAATTTTAATAGCCACGACGCAATTTCCCAGAACGTTGAGCATCATCGCAACGAGGGAGTGTCCCCGATCACGCCTAGATTGCGCAATACTGTGAATGCCGGTAAGTTTGGCAATGACGCCAGTGTTGAGACGCTTACCAAAATAACTCACGATCACATTGACAATATCAGCGATGAAGTGCTGGGTAAAAACACGGAGGCTTTCAGCAAATCGACCCCAATGGCTGACTCCACTGTGTCCCCCAGCATCGAGGTTAAATGTTCACGACCCCGGGGGAATAAACTTAGTGATATCAAAGAGAAGGTACCACTTGAGACATTAAAACGTGAGTGCGTTGAGAAAACACAAGTGAAAAGTTCAAACGTTGTACAGGAGATCAAAGAATTGTGCAGTGAATATAACAAAAGTGTTGATGTGTGGACAAAAGAGATGAAATCCAGTGAAACTAAAACCGAAAGAACAGAAACTTCATTCAAAAGTGAATCAACTGAGACACGCAAAACTATTTCTACTGATCCCGCCGAATTAATTGGCACGGATGATCAATGCCAAGAGTCATCAAGCAGCACTCCCTCCCCAGCAACTGTTAAACACGTATCCGATGAGGAAGAAACCACCCCAAAGACACCTGAATCAAATCCCTTGAAAGACCTCTGTATCAAGAAAATCCTCTCCCTCCCTTACGGCCGCCAATTAATCAACGAGATAACTCTCCCCAAGTTCACCATCTTTAAGAACTTGGAATCTATCCACAAAACCGTGAAAACTCTACAAATCCACGAATCCAAAGATTTGAATACCATGAAGAAGCGTCCAACAACTTGGATGGGCGTGCCGACTGAGGATCCACATCTCCTCGTCTGTCTTTCCCCCTCTCAGCAAGAAACCCCAGTACGCACAAGTGCCGACAAACTATTGGATCTCCACAAAAAGTTTCTCAATCGGCGTAGCTACCACCATGATCATCGAACCGAGATTAATGTACCCAAGTACCATATAGAAATCACCCCTAGCTCCACCCACCACCCACAAGAATCCATAAAACCATGGGAAAAAGAATTGAAGCAATTGGGAGATGTCTCAGTGGCCACGAATCGTCTCCTTGAGATCGTAAAAGAGAATCCCATACCCATGGAGTTACCTTCGGTCACGAACTCCCATAAAAATGTTGAACAGAATCCTCTCAAATCTACCCTGGTAGCCAACTGGTTAACTGAGAGCAATAACGATCATCTGAACACACCCGTCTGTGAGAGCCCACCATCTTGTAATTTTTCACAACGACTGAGATACCAGGAGAATGAAAAAACCAGAGAGAGTGCATTCAGTCCAGTACTCGGCAATGATCACATAACCGCAAACGACATTACCGACGTTAGAGCCAAACGACAAGGTAGAATTTTTGATACGACAATCGGTTCATCGCCAGCATCTTCAAGCAAGTTTAACGAGAGTAGCAATAGGATAAACAGTGCTTTGATACTGAGAACACCTGAGGGCACACACCAGGAGCATCGAAGTACAACACCAATCAATAGGTCTCCAATTACCAACAGGAGTGCTATAATCGATAGAACGTCTGATATTGCTGAGCCACGTAAGTGGACACTGTCGAGGACAATTGATGCGCGACAGGTGAATCCAGCGCTGATAAACGACCGGCCTGAGGCACCACCCAGACGTCGAAGGACTGTTGATGTCGATCGTACGTGCATCGACACCACTAGTATTTTTGATAAGACACCACCATGTGGGCATCTGGGGGAACGCAAGTGTCATGACCCCGAAGCGCTGAAACAAGCAACAGCCAGTGAAATTGTGGAGAATTTGAAAGATCTTCAGAGAGGTGTTAGGGATATGTTCGATGGAAGGAGACGTTACTCATTACCTCAGGAGTACTTTGACAAACAGCTCAAGTACATTGAGACCCTTGAGGATCAGCTAAAGGAAGTCATTATCGCTGAGGAAGAAGAGCAGAAAGCGTTTGTTGAGTTTGAGGGACAAGTCAGAGAAATGGAAAATGTAAATGGAAGCGAGATGGAGTCTTCTAACAGGAAACAATTAAGTAATGATGGTAATAACTTTCGCCAGACTTGGCACGAAGAGTCTCGAGTTGAGGACAACAGTCGTACTCAGTTCACAAGTAAAGAGGGACGGGAGGAATCAACGAAGAGACTGAATCAAACAGGGGGTCACGATTTGGAAAGCTCAATGAAGATATTTGAGAATAAAGAGGTGAGCCGAGTGACAACGAGTGGTGGGAGTGGACAGGAATGGCAGAGATACGTTGATGATATTTCAAGGGATTCACTTGATGCTGAGAAACGAGATCATTACGAGGTACGTGGAAAGTGTGAGAGACCCAAGTCCATTTCGATATTGCCAAGCTGTGACGAAGTATTTAGACGGAAGATGTATGATGAGTATGTTCATAAAGTTTTGGAGAGGGAGGAGAGGAAGCAGCATAAAATTATTAAAATTAGTTCGGGGTTGGATTTGAAACAGGAGAGGAGCAAGGACAATATGAGCACAATGGAGAAGGAGTTCATTGAGAAGGCGAAGAGAAGGCTCGACAGATTTGGCATTCAGCTGGATGAGCGGGAAGGGAATGACGATAATCAAGGAAAAGAGAGGAGTGAGAAAATCGAGGCCAGGTGTCTTATCGATGGAAAGGAGATAAGAGATGCCAAGAAACTACCCAAACATCTACAGGAATTTCTCGAACTCACTATCAACGAACTTGAAGACGGTGAGTCCAGTGTGCGGACATTGCTTATCATTATTGCTGTTGTTGACCTTGGCGAGAGTTTCTGTGGATTTGATGATGATATTTTAACATGATAACTAACCAGTTTGGTTTGTTTGTTTTAGTTTTACAGAGTGGTCATTCTTGATTTTCGGGATATCATGGGGGATTATTTAGGAATCAACAGGTTGAGGGGTTAGAATGAAGCTTGATGAATCACGTGAGAGTCAATCACCTTATTATAGGATAATCCCTCGACCTACTTGTTCCAAGATAATCACACATATTCACTGAACAGTAATTCCTCATTTTGACGTAGTAAATTGCTGATATTTGTCTGTTTATTTTGATTGAAAAGTTGTAGGCAAGCGAAGCACGCCAGTAAGGCCAACCACCCGCGAATCGTTGCGTCATGACGAGGCAAAGCCGGCTCTCCCTGACTCACTGAACTTTAAGACCCGTTGGTATTATTTTTCAAACATTTCGTGTTTTAAACGGGAAAATCGCCGCTGCGCAAAGGCTGAAGCCCAACGACGGTTAAGTCCGGGGTGCTGATTCACGTACTGGCTCCCTTCTATATTTAGGTACAAATCCGTGAAGAGAAATAGGCCAACGGTTACTCTCTGGACCCCGCGTGCAACGTCTTTTCGTATCACGGTTAATGCGGAGGAAACCACTGGTCTTGGGGCTTTTTTGTTGGTTGTTTTGGGGTTTCAGGTCTATTTCCGTGAGCCGGCGTCTTGCGGGGTTTCGCGAGACGGTGACTGTTTACCATCCATATTACTATGGGACTGATTTATTTGGGTAATGAGGAATTTGAGAAGGATGGGAGAGGTAATGAGAATTTGTTGTTTAATTTATTGGGGGATTTTTCGAAATGGAAGGTTCTTTGGGGTTTTGAGGTTTTCTCGGAAATTAAAGGGTTTAGGGGAAAACGCAGATGACATTTTTTATACACTGTCAGGAAATAACTCATGAAATTTCAAGTGAAAAAGCTTAAAATTTTTAACAACGGCAAAATTACATGAATTTTCTGTATATTTCTTCATTAACGAATCAGTTAACTTCCTGAATATTCCAGTAATTCTCGATTTTCAGGTCCATACGGCACTTAAAAACCTTGAAAATTTTGAAAGTTCAGGCAATAACTTTTCTAAATTCTCAATTGATTGAAAATTTAATTGTATGTGAAGTTTAATTTTCACGATGAGTTTGGGATTGAAACTTTCATTGAAAAATCAATGATTGTTCAATATGAAAAAACCAATTTTCTTGAATTTTCAAAATGAATAAGAAATTTAGTGAACGCTTTCATTTGAAATTGAATTCAACCTCTCAACATCGAAAATTTAGTTGACGCTATCATTGAAATTTCAAGATATTTTTAACAGAGTAGGGAAGAAAATTTTCCTACAAAAAAGGTTCTACAATGTTTTTTTGCTTTTGAATGGGAGCATTGTAATCGTTCAAATTTAAGTTTTGGATTTTTGTGTTATATCGACCCATTATGATCCAAAAAGTCCGAAAATGTAATTTTTTGAGCGTGTCCACACATATCCATACATATACACACATATGTGTGGTAAATTTTTTCTTCACTTGTTAGCTAATGACTGAATGGAATGGAATCTTTTTTTTCATATGTAGAAATTGTTGAGCCCTATCGATCGCCATTAATTAAAATTTAATTGATCCATTATTTTCTTTTATTTTTCAATTTTTTTGGAAAATCGATTGTCCCACCATAACTAAAAAAACTGTTCTGAATTGATTGAGTGATGGCTTGAAAAATTTGATTGGATGTCTCTTTAACCGACTTTCAAGATGAAGGCCATAGCAATAATCGTTATTTTGCTTCATTCGAAAATTTGAAAAAAATTTGTATTTTTTGAAAATCAGAATTCCGGGGATATCTTTGAACATCATGCTTCAAATGAACTCAATCATAGCTTCAAATGTTTGTTTTAATGCCATCAAGTCGAAGTTGAAAAATGATTATGATAGCTATATCGGTTGATTTGATTTTTATGGTGATTGTTGAAAATTTTGAATTTTCCTGAATTTCCCTGAAAGTGATGTTTCAAATTCATTCAATTATGCGTAAATAAAAATTTTCTATTAACATTTCATCGAAAGGCTGAGGGGAGAGATAGATAATTATCAATTTGGAAATCATTTTCCCCATTATTTTCCCTTATCACGTAAATTATTGTATATGAAAGAAAACAACAATACTTTTTTATACTGAAAAAATTCTCTATTAAAAAGTTTTGTTTGTGTTCTCTGATGAAATCCCTCATTATCAAAAAAATTGCCAAATTTCTGGAATCGATTTTTATTCTGGAGAAATCTCGGCTTCGCGTCAAGTAGAAATTTCATCTCTCATTACCTCGAAAACTGTTAGATTACGTGAAACATATTATGAAACCTTTTTTTGTCGGCAAAACAATTCTCTACAGAAACTGTCGTATGACATTTTTCCCTAAACCCCTTTCTTCCGAAGATATCTCGAAATTCGTTTGTTTTGAGCTTATCTTCTCTCACCACTGCCCATTTTTTTGCTTCTCAAGTTTTATCACAAACTTTCTAAACTTTTCAAACATAGAACTCTTTATTTTCGAATCTAGTGATCTATCGCAGTTTCCCGCTCATCTGATTCACCACGATATTACATTAAAAACTTTTGGTTTACCACTAAAGTTCGCTATAAATAATTCAATAGTGTCTTTATTCTCTCTTGTGCTAGCAAAACCTCGGGTTATCCTTTCTAATCTTCCCCACTAATTGATATTGATACTTATTACATTGCTCCCTTGTTTTGAAAAATTTTGTTCGACCCATAAATATTTTGAGAACTTGTCGTTTAGTTTATCCGTGTAATTACCGTCACTCTGGGTAATCCGCTTAACTCACTATAAATTGGCTATTTGTTTTTATTAATTAGCTGTTGTTCCACGTAAATAAAATCTCTCTCACTACTTTCACTGACCAGAGAAAAATGATTGTTGGGGGAGGTGACTCATAACAAATTGCTTCACAATTTCCGACGTCATAATTTCATAAAGCGATTTTTTTCCTCCCAGTTTGAGGAATTTAAGGGGTGAAAATGGTATTTTTAACTGAAGCATTTTTCTCTGTGTATCTGGGCACTTGGCATGCTTTTTTTATGGTTGAAGGGTATGGCTATGGCATGGATGCTGGAGGAAAAACAAATGACAACGATTTACTGCACGAGATCGACACCGCTTTAAGAGACTCCAAAGGTTTTCTGCTTCGGGAAGGTGCGTTCTTAGATATTTTGGTGTTACTAAATTTTTGGGACGGAAATATGGTAAATGTACTGATCGAATCATTTTGTGGTAGATGTAGTATTAATTAATGGAAGTAATGGTAATGCATGAAAAGATTTAATTGCCCTTAATTTTATGACAAAAGTATTTTTATTTCTTTATTTAGGCAAAAACTGCGATCTTCAACATAATTATAGGGGAAATAATTATATAATATTGATAAGTTTGATTGGAAATGGTGCACTGTACATGAAAATTAAATGACATTTCAAATTTTCAAGGAACAGGAAGACGAGAATTCTCAAAATGGCGCGAATTTTCAATTAATAGAAATTCCAGAACATGCATTTACTTGAATGTTCTTTACTTTTATCAATATTCGTGACATAACTGAACTGAAATTCAGAGGACCTTTTGATTTTTTCATGAAATCGTAAATTGTCAATTGCAAAATTTCATGAAATGTCTGTGGAACCATATTGTATTTCGTATTGTGGATGTCGGAGTCATACTGGATCCAAATAGCCTGTTCAGAAACTGACTAGATCCTTATCCGGGAGATCTGCTCAGAAAATCCTGACCAGCATTGGATCTAAAACTGATCTAGATCCGGACAACCTGAGCGAAATTTCCACTCGGGACTTTCAATTCGGAATTTTTTCTTTAATCCAGTCAATTTTGAGTACAACGAACATTGGTCACTCATCCATATATTCGTTAGCCCGCCGTCAGCCGCTCGTTATCCTAGTCGTTTCCCAGTCGAAAAAACCACTCGTCTATTTCGTTCGTCAAGCACGTAGACAACTTCCGCTCCCCCCCAACATTGTATTCCCCTTTTTTACTTCTCCCATGATGAACACAGATAATGAGAATCGTCATCCAGAATTTCAATGAATTCCATACCCTCTGTTTACCTAATATCCTCCGCGATATGTCAAAGGGAAATTTAAATTGCGGAGACTGTTATTTTCCGCTTTGTTTTTACCCTTTTTTTTTGTGTAATACGAATGAACGCAATTCCATTCCTCATTTCGGCATAATATAAGAAGTGGTAAAGTAGTTGTATTCCGTCACCGGGAAAAATGCACTCGACTTCTGGAAACGAAAATCCAATAAAAGAGAAACTCGATCCTCTGAATCTCTGGCGTCCACCGACGGTTTTACATTTTTCTTCTACTCCGGAATATTCAAGATTCTTTTGTTTTTTTTTCACAATACGTGTATGAAATAGTTGCATTTTTTGTTTGCACAATGAACTATTTAAACGGTATTCCACACTGCCAGCAAAAATTAATTTTATCAAGAGAATTTTATTTGAACCAACTATCATTTGGTTGTTAATTCTCAAATAAACATGATCTCATAGTGAATACCAGTTATCTCTTCTTGAGATCCATTTGATTGGGAGAAATCCAACTCCTCTAAAATTGAAGTTCCTTATATTTATCGCAATAATGAGAGTATTTGACTTCTTTCTAGCCAAAAGTTTGCCAACTCCAGAAAGTCGTTGGTTTACTCAAAAATCAAAATTATTCTCATGACTAAATACGTTGTTATCTCGATCAACACGATCATACGTTGTTCCAAGTAAATTATAATTGAAGTCAGCATTTCGTATGTCGAATCAGGATGAATGTTGTTACGTGGAAAACGCTTTGAGATTGTAGTAACATGTCGTTGAGTTGAAAGAAGTTTATATTTCTTGACTAAAAA